TTTTTTTTTTTTTTTTTTTTTTTGGATTTTTATATTTTTGGGGGGTTTTGGTGAGACTTTTTAGGAGACTCTTGTTTGTTAATATTCCTTTATAGTGGTATATTTTATGTTTACACACATACACACACTGGCAGATACACTTTCATATACACACACACTGGCAGATACACACTCACATTCAGACAGTGACACATACACACAGGTCATAATGTTTATAGTTGCAGCCACCCTCTTGTTAGCATACCTTTTCTCTGCAGGAGGGTGGCTTGCTTAGAGTGCTGCTCGCTGCTGGTGTGGAGGACGGCAGCAGCTCTCTCTCCCCTCCTGCCTTCTCTCTATCCAGTGCAGCCTCTCTATGTCTGGGAGGAAGTGACAGGCTGCACTTCCTCCCAGCATCAGATATTACAGGGGCCCGGTCACGCTCTTAAAGGGCTGCAGCACCTGACTGGGCCCCTATTCAGGAATACCCGTCGGATGGACCTAAGTGCTTGGGTCATCTGATGTGCAAATCGCTGAGGAACCCCAGTTTTGTTCTTGCGGAACACCAATTGGGAAATGCTGATTTAATCCCAAGAATAAAAATACTTGGTACGATTAGAATTTAAGAAGGGGCAGGTTTCTGCACAAGCTATAGAAAATCCTGAAGAATAAACAATTGTTTCATTGCTGTCCAGAAGGCTTTCCATGGTTTGCACGGAATTGTATTACCTGGGCTGCATTTGCTGCTGATTAATGTAATCTTACATTTGGAATTCTGAATTCTCCTTTACATCTAGCCCATTGGAGAGCCAGGGCCTTAATTTTCTGCATCATACCTCCCCATGTACATTTATTAATATCATTTTAAATTGTTGATTAAAATAAATATGGAATAGAAGAGGGCAGTGTCCAAAATAAGTATGTTAGCTTGGGGAAAAGCAACAATTTTAGAAGGGTCACCCTCTGAAGACATGGCACTGTCCTCAATGGTATTGATCCTGTTTAAGTGATAACCACCTAGTGGGGAAATTATATTGGAGTAACAGCTTTTAAGTCAGTTTAAGAAGGAGAGAGTAGTTGCCCACCAGTCAAAATGAAAATTGTTAACATAGCCTTACTAAGCTATAGAGCTAATCAACAGCGCCCCTGCCAGGTGCCACTCTGCACTTGCTAAAACAGTTGCAGAAGCCGGATTCCGCAGGGGGACCTAGAGATATGGCTCCCTCTGCAGAATCCGGCTTCTGAAACTGGACCAGTGTCGCGCTGCCCCTGCCCCCAAACCTCCTCCTTGGCTGACATCATCAGAATTTTATCTCAGCCAATCACAAAGCCTTCCATTGGAAATCATTGGATTGGCTGAGATTGTCAATTCTGATGATCTTAGCCAAGCAGGTAGGGTGGGGGGAGGAGCAAAAGGCCTACTTGGCCAATGCACCTCTATGAGGAATGTCTCCATGCAGAGCGTGTGCAGAATGTGCAGCACTGACCCAGGAACCACCTCACAATGCCATCTGAGTGAACTTGGAGGTGAAAAAGCAGTGTTTACATGAAAATGCCTGAAGGACATACTATACTCACCAGATCAAATACAATAGGCTGCAGTTGTTCTGGTGACTGTAGTGTCCCTTTAATTAAATTATTGTCAAGTATCATTGAGCAGCATTATGCATGAGAAAACACTAAATCACGGATATAGAAGATCGTGGATTTTCAGGCATGTTACAAGTTAAAACAAACAGTGAAAGATGCAACTAAACACCAACAGACCGTGCATTTTCATAGAACATGGCACTACAAGCTTGCTCTATAGAAAACAATATTTCTCTTAATAATGATTGACATGCAGATACGGGAAATTCTGATTTTACTTATCAAATAACCCAGATGGATCCATTGTTTTAATTTATTACAAATGTCATACTTTAGTGGAAACCTTTCTGTATAACGCCGTATAGGAGCATGTGCTTTACTAACTCTTTGCTGCCATCTAGTGGCAATCTTACATATACTGCTCTCTTAGGCTGGCCTTGTCAAAAAAACTACTTCAATCAATGATCTGTCAATAAAAAAATTATGATTTATTTTTTTGTAAAGCATTCAGCATATTTTAAAATGTATTTATTTATAGGTTAGAGACTACATAGAAACATAGAATGTGACGGCAGATAAGAACCATTCGGCCCATCTAGTCTGCCCAATTTTCTAAATACTTTCATTAGTCCCTGGCCTTATCTTATAGTTAGAATAGCCTTATGCCTATCCCACGCATGCTTAAACTCCTTTACTGTGTTAACCTCTACCACTTCAGCTGGAAGGCTATTCCATGCATCCACTACCCTCTCAGTAAAGTAATACTTCCTGATATTATTTTTAAACCTTTGTCCCTCTAATTTAAGACTATGTCCTCTTGTTGTGGTAGTTTTTCTTCTTTTAAATATAGTCTCCTCCTTTACGGTGTTGATTCCCTTTATGTATTTAAAATCATATCCCCCCTGTCTCGTCTTTCCTCCAAGCTATACATGTTAAGATCCTTTAACCTTTCCTGGTAAATTTTATCCCGCAATCCATGAACCAGTTTAGTAGCCCTTCTCTGAACTCTCTCCAAAGTATCAATATCCTCTGAAGATACGGTCTCTAGTACTGTGTACAATACTCCAAGTGAGGTCTCACCAGTGTTCTGTACAATGGCATGAGCACTTCCCTCTTTCTACTGCTAATACCTCTCCCTATACAACCAAGCATTCTGCTAGCATTTCCTGCTGCTCTATTACATTGTCTGCCTACCTTTAAGTCATCAGAAATAAATTTGTCCGTGTGTTAGAGTCCTCATCAACGTAGTGCTTCTGTCAAAATGCTTAATAGTTTGTCTCATTTGTTGTTAAATACCTCCTTTATATTATTGTAAAACGCTGGTCAATAAAAATAAGAATACTTTGGCACTGTATAAATGCCAATAATAACATGCAAAGGGGATTGCATGGGGGGAATATATCAATACATAAATGAAGTAACTAATCAGGAATAAGAGATAGATTTCTAAATAAACAGTTTAAAATATTATTGATTTAACTCTTTTTTGGCTAATGGCATTCAGACAGGGAGATTGCAAACAGGAATCTGATATACAAAATATTCTCAAATCTCCTATCAGTTATTTCCAAACCAGTCCCCTTAATGCTTGACTTTTTCTACAAGTTCAACTAATGCATTTTCTATCAAATCCCATTTAAAGAACACATTAAGCACCCACACATTATATATTTTAAGATGTAATACATATCAAATTCACAAAGGGGGGGAAATACATAGTTCTTGATGCATTAAATGTAGCTTGATTTTAGCTGTCCTTGCAAGCAAAGTGAATTTAGATGTGTATTTTTGTTTCCAATATTGTCCCAATATATATTGCATTACAGCGTCCAAGAGGTCTATTTGTCCAGCTTGACCATAGGAGGTTGGCTTTTTCATATCCTAAAGGAAGCATTATTAACTGGGGATCCATCCAGGGCATGCTGCTCAGAAGCAGAGTTAGTTTATCCAGCTAGGAGTTTTCAGCAACTCTTACTTTCGAAGTCCAGGAAAAATGTATGTTATGATGACAACGGTCCCAGTCTCTCTGCTATTTTCTGTTGCTTATAACTGCATCTATTAGACTACTCCTTCAGCGCCTACAAAAACTCAAATGATGGAGTTAAGGTACTGTGAACAGTGGGCTTATTTAGATATTGCTGTGGGTCACCGATTATGCATTATTGGGTAAAACCTGGAGATATTGTTCTCTGTAACTAGACTGCTGCAGAATGAGAAGATACTCATCATTAGATGTTGTACTGTCACGGCACCTGATCGGCACGTCCCCATGCAGCCCACTCACTTACCCGAGGTTCTGCTCCCAACCTCCTCCTTGTCTCCTTTTAGTGTTGTTAACTTGGATTCTGCGTGTTCGGTCATAGTTCATCATGACACATACACTTGAAAGTTGTGTGTACCTTAAAGGAACACTAGTATTAGGAATACAAACATGTATTTCTAACACTATAGTGCTGGTGTGGCAGTTTAGGAAACTCTCAGATTGCAGAGAAAAGGTAGTTTTATTCACCTTATCGTTCTCCATGTGCCTGTCTCACTGCAGCTAGCCCTGCCTCCTTGGCAATCTAGGTAATCTCAGCCAATCCATTGCTTTTCTAGGCTATTGCACGCGCGCAGCAAAATGCGATGTTGCCCAAATGAATCTCTATCAGAAGTGTGTAGCCTCTCTATGCAAAGCGTGGAGACGCTGAATGTAGATGCTGCACTGAACTAGGAACCACCACTAGTGGCCATCTGAGTGACTGCAACTTGAGATGTTTATAGGCAGCGATGTAAATAAACACTGCTTTTTCAGAGAAAGGCCTGTAGGGACAGGCTATAGACTCCAGAACAACTACAGTAAGCTGACTATAGTATTCCTATAAAGATGAAATAGCTGGGTTGGATCTCTGAATCGCATTAGAAGCTCTATTTGAACATACCCTAAAGTTAATTAACATACAAAGAGGAGATACAGGACTGCCGAGCATCAGATAAAGTAATTGGGCATGTGATAACATAGTACAGGTATATATGATATACTCTGTAATGACAAAGTAAATAAATGTGAATTGAATAGCACTAAGAAACTAATACAAGTCTTTGCAATTGTCTTACCTCCATCATGTAAAATATTGGGATACAAGTTTAACAAAATACGGTACAAGTGAAATTATGTTAATAATTTGTCAAATGTTCTTGCATGAGTCATGAAAGATAGATTCAGGTCTTGTGTGCGAGCTGTCAGGCTGCCTTCTAACCCCCTTAACAAAAAAGAGGTTAGGCAATTCTCATTGTATCGTGACACTCCTGTCGGATCATGTGCCTAAGGGGCTAGGAACCATCCTTGCTCTGGCCCAGACTTCCTTGGTTTACCCTTTTCTACAAGCCATTAATATTTCAACAACATTCTGAAATAACCAAATCAATTAAAGGAGAATGAAACCGTAAAATTACTGTCACTTTTTTTATTCAAAATCATTTTTTATTATTAATAAACATTAGAAGATTCCTGTTTTGTCTTTCCCTTTTCATAAGATACGTTATTTATAGTACAAACCCCATTCCAAAACATGAGCCTTGTGCAATGTACCTGTGATAATGCAATTATTTTCTGCTACTGTGCAAAGAAAGCCTTGTCCAGCACATGGCAAAATAACACAATCTGTATGGTTTGAGGCATTTAGCTGCATTTCACAGGCAACTACCATTTCCCGTACTACAAGAGTATAAAGTACTTAACAGAAGGATTCCGGCTTCAAGTTTATCACACTCCCATTCTAAAGAGGAGTATTCATAATTCCAGTAGTTCTACTGTTTTTTGTTTTTGTAACCTCTTCCCTGCCAAAAAGAAACAAACTACACAGCTTCTAGCGAGACCTGCTCTGCACAGCCGTGTGGAACCAAAGAGCAGGTAGCAGGTTAACGAGGAAATAAAATTAAAATTTATTTTTGTCTCTGCTTCTAAAGCATGTTCTATAGCACCAATATATGCATTAGAAAGGACAGAAATGAGGATCATCATTTTCACAAATTATCTGAAAGTAATTTAGTACATTTCTCAGGTAGACAGGGATGTTTTTGAAGTCCTGTCTGGATGTGAATTGGTGACCAATATGAGGAAAGATATCTTCCAGGTTCTGTCAACTAACTTGTATTCAAGAAACCTAGAATTAAATGTAACTTTTTTCTTCTTCACGGTTTGTGTTGGTATTTCTGTGGCAATACATAAAATAATAAAACAACGATCCACGTTCCAAAGCTGTTCTATGCATATGTCTAACCAAAAGGTCAATCCCAAAACTGCATTTACACTTTCTCCATAAAGTTCCAAACAATATTTGCATCCGGTAAGCAATATAAAGAAGGTTAGAAAAATGCATTCAGGGTGTTAATACAGATGAACTGTTGCTGTGTGTTGCCCACTCGGGGAATCTGTTCAGATCAAACATTGGTATTCCCCACGTGTAAAGTCCAAACCATAAGGTTATCATGCTTATTAGGTTAGTTCCCAGTCCTGCTTTTACCTGCAAATAAATAAAGCAAAGAGAAATAACTTAATTAACTTGTTTTTATATTCCTGTGTAATAGTTATTAAAATAGCATTATTTTTTTTAATACCGTTTATAATGAAAGATATTGTTCAAAGTGATATGACTATTACTCTGTTCACAATAATGAAATATTGTCAGAGTTATTCACTAGTGAGAATTCAAAGATAATTTTCAAATTTAAGGTAAAAAAGAGCCAAAGTGGAAAAATTATAAAAGTCAGCCATGTTTCCAGTTTGGTAACTTTGGCTAAATCTAAAAACTCACTTTGAATTCCCACTTTAGTGAATAAATGAAAGAGTCTTTTTAAGCTGATAAATATAGTAATATCATAACGAACATTTATAAAGACATTCAGCATCTATGGGAGATGTGAAGTGTTTAATTTCTTTTCTTCCAATATCTTTGGATACATATATGGAGATAATCAGGGCCGGACTGGGAGAAAAATTCGGCCCGGGCATTTTTTTAACACAGCGGCCCACTAAAAAGGGGGCGGGGCAGAGGAGGTGTGTTTTGTCACCAATGACAGACACGCCTCCTCTCAAAGTGAGCATGTTGGTTCAATGCTCTTCCAGGGCAGACCATGCGCAGAGCTCTGCTGAAGAGCTCTAGCATGAGAAAAAAGTCCTGTATTTGTTTTGCACAGTGCAAGCAAATTTAATAACATGCTTGCACTGTGTTTCCTTGCAACTTGTCTCTGGTGTCTATAAATGGATACCAGGAGACAAAAGGCCAGGAAAGAGTATTGTGCATGTGTTTGGAGCCTGCTTGTGGTATTGCATGTGTGTAGAGTGAGCTGGTCGTGGTGTGGTATTGTGTAATAAGGTCGGTTTTAGTCGTGTTGTGTTTGTGGTGTAATGTGATGCATATGTGGCTATGGGCTGTAGAGAATGTGTGTATTGGGATATAGCAAGTGTGTGCATACAGGCTATAGTGTGTGTGTGTTTAGGGGTGTAGTATGTGTTTGCTTACAAGGAATCTAGTGTGTGTATAGGGGATCCAGAGTGTGTATGTTAAAGGACCACTATAGTGCCAGGAAAACATACTCGTTTTCCTGGCACTATAGTGCCCTGAGGGTGCCCCCACCCTCAGGGACCCCCTCCCGCCCGGCTCTGGAAAGGGGTTAAAACTTACCTTTTTCCAGCGCCGGGCGGGGAGCTCTCGTCCTCCGATCCGCCCCGTCGGCTGAATGCGCACACACAGCAAGAGCTGCACGCGCATTCAGCCGGTCGCATAGGAAAGCATTTATAATGCTTTCCTATGGATGCTTGCATGCTCTCACTGTGATTTTCACAGTGAAAAGCACGCAAGCACCACTAGCGGCTGTCAATGAGACCGCTGCTAGAGGTTTTGGGGGAAGGCTTAACCCATTGATAAACATAGCAGTTTCTCTGAAACTGCTATGTTTATAAAACAATGGGTTAACCCTAGAAGGACCTGGCACCAAGACCACTTCATTAAGCTGAAGTGGTCTGGGTGGCTAGAGTGGTCCTTTAAGAGTGTAGTGTGTGCGTGTATACATATATATATATATATATATATATATATATATATTTGGAAGTATTGTGTATGTTTGTGGTGCAGTGTGTTGGGGGGGTTCTGTGTGTGTGTGAGGGGTGCAGTATGTGTGTGTGAGAGTGCGGTGTGTGATGGGTGTGAGAGTGCCGTGTGTGAGTGATGGGTGTGAGAGTGCCGTGTGTGAGTGAACGGTGTGAGAATGCTGTGTGTGAGTGATGGATGGGAGAATGCCGTGTGTGAGTGATGGGTGTGAGAATGCTGTGTGTGAGTGATGGATGGGAGAATGCCGTGTGTGAGTGATGGGTGTGAGAATGCTGTGTGTGAGTGATGGATGTGAGTGTGCTGTGTGAGATGGGTATGTGAGATGGGTGTGAGAGTGCTGTGTGTGTGTGTGAG